CTTTGCTGTCTTGTAGTCATTTTTCTGTGGTCAATATCTTAGAGTCATTTTCCCTACATCATTCCTGTAGTTTGTCAATGCTTGTCTTATAACTCCTAATTTGGCTTGACAATCTTCTTCCACGCTTGTCATCTTTCTGCTACCATTTTCATTGCTTATGCTACTGTAAGACTGCGAAGTGGCATTCTCTCCCTCTTATTTTAGCAATTATTTCTATTGCCACCAAAATAATCTTCCCAGGACACAAAACTGATGGTCCTATAGCCCTGCTTACAACTCTCAGGGCTCCCTTTTCTGCTTGAGAATCAATCTGGTTCCATAACATAAGTTCCAGCCCTTTTCATGCCTCTGGTCTCATGGTTCTCATTCCCTCACCTTTTGGTGTGTCCTTCTTTTAGTTCCTTAATTAGGCCTCTTCTCCCTTACTTCTTGAAGGCACGGTTGCCTATGCTTTAACCCTTTTTCCTTTACCACTCACTCCCTACTCAACCTTTGGGTCTCCATTTAAATGCAACATCTAGAAAGCAGGTCTTGGTCCCATTAGGATTGGATTAAAATACACCTCCACAAATGGTTCCAAGGGGCCCTAAACTTTCTCTACTAAAGCAAGGGTAACATTAAATTAACCTCCCCCCTGCTGATTTATCTCAAACTTTTTCTGTATCATGAACTCTGTGAGAGCAATTCTGGTGCTTTCAGTGCTGTTATCATGAGCATTCCACACAGTAATCAATACATAGCATGCTAAAAATGCTAATCAATTCCTGTGTGTGTCCTGAACTATAAACAATCGCTCTGAACATGGTCTGCACAATACGGTAGAATGACTATCACCTTCCTTCTATACTTTTAGTAAAAGTTAATGTTTTTTTTGTTTGGGGGCCACACTTGCTGGTGTTCAGGGTTGACTCCTTGCTCTTTGCTCAGGGATCACTCCAGTGGGGTCAGGGAACCACATACAGTGCCAGAGATTGAACCCAGGTTGGCCGCATGCAAGGCAAGCTTCCTATCCACCGTACTATCACTCTAGTCCCTTTCTTTTTAAAGGAATATCTGCTGCTGAATTTTATCCTCAGCTTAATCCCCTGAGCTTGGGCCCAGAGGAACAGTGCAGTGGCTCAGAGCACCCACCTCGCAAGCAAAGTCAAGAGTTCAAATCCCTGGTATTCCATGTGTGCCGAGCACAGTCTCTGCTCGTTAAGCCTGGCAGCTCTGCCATCTACTATGCCCATCATAAGTGATTTCTGGCTGCACTGCAATCAGGTGTATGTCAACATCACAAAAAGCATTTTGACACCTAATAGCAACCCAGCCAAGAAGTAGGACACCTGGCAAGCTAGCATGTGAGCACTACAGTAAACTCTGGCGAGCACCAAAACCATAAATCGTGTGCCTTGGGTAAGAGTAAGAGCCTCCCATGAACATGTGTGCCAGTTTCCCAAGTAAAGAAGTGCAAACCTAGGTGAGTGCTGCGGTCCCACGGGCAAAGACTGCAATCTGATGAGTGACCCCCAGCTCGGAGCACCAGAGCTTAAAAAAAAATGTGAACACATGACAGCCAGGCTTATGTGCAACCCCCTGTCATCACATCAGCAAATGGAACAGGAAGGAAAATGTAAAACTGTATAATATTTTAAAATAAGCTTAAATAGTTAAAAAAAATTAAACCCATATGCCTTTACTACCACATAAATTCATTACTAGCTGACTCCTTTCATTCCTTCTTTCCTCCCTTCCTTCCTTCCTTTCTTTTTTTTTCTTTTTTGGGTCATACCCAGCAATGCTCAGGGGTTACTCCTGGCTTTGCACTCAGTAATTACTCCTGGCTGTGCTCAGGGAACCATGTGAGATGCTGGGAATTAAACCTGGGTCGGCCAAGTGCAAGGCAAGTGCCCTACTTGTTGTGCTATCACTCCAACCCCATCCTCCCTTCCTTTCTTGTCCAGTCTTTCTCCCTTTCCCTTTCCATCCCTCTACACCTCTCACTGCTTCCCTTTTCTTCAACATCGATCTGCAATAATTTGCCCCCATGAGCAATACATCTTATATCTATCCCTGCATATTCCTCCAAAAATCAAAATATACTACAATTTATTGTTAACTTTGGGGGTCTGAAATCTTTGTTTATGTCTATTCTCTGCACAAATGTTATTCTTGTCTTCATGAATGTCAATGATATTGAGAAAAACAAAGGAAGACAGAGTCAAGTAGTATATCATCAAAGACATCTATCTGTTAATCAGCTTTTCTTTAGCAAGTGCATTCAACCAGTTCTGAATCCATGCACATTTTTCTAACACAGGAGAATATGAAGAATTGGATTTAAGCTGATTCCTACTAGTCACCACCTACTGTCCTGGTCTATAATACTCCTGAATAGGTTAATTGTTTTATTAGAGATTCTTAGCCTGAGATTCGTGACAGCTCAAGAGAATTGCAGGGTTGGTGTGGATGAGCCCCCAAAAAGAGCCACACTTTTTCGACTACAGTTTTTCTAAAAAGAATAATATACATCTGAGTCTTCAAAGGATGCTGGCGTCAAACAAGACCAGAATGAAGTTTAAATAATGACAGAACTTAAAATTCACTTCTTATGTTTTGGGAGTGCACATTCTCTCTCCTGAAAACCAAAACTGCATTTTCTTATCTGAAGCCTCCTTAAGCTCCTATTACTCTCTCAGAGTTCTTAGAGATCCACCTGCTGATCCCCTCCATGGCCCTAAGGATGCTTCTGAGGATACTAAAACCAAAAGATTCCTGCCCTCAAGGAGTCTGCACACCACTGGGGAACAGACAAGTATATGTAGAGTTGAAATAAAGAATGGCAAATCCCTGCTGAGTAGATAGGATAGTGCAGGGACTAAGGAATTTGCCTTCCACGTGGTCCATCCCATTTGATCTCTGAGAGTAGCTTTGAGCACCTTTGTATGCGGCCCAAATTTCATCTACCCTCCACTGGGTGGGAGTGAGGGGGACATGGGTGGGTGAGTAGGGGGAGGGATGCTGTGGGAATAGATGAGATTACGGACTGGAGAAGTTGAAATGCAGGCTACTCTCCGTGTACTGGCAGAGGGAATAAAGGAAACTCTGGATATGAGGTAAGCACTTCTGGATCAGGAGTAAATAGTCGAAGTCATTTCCAAGGAAAAGTGGCTCTCTGCTGAGTTTTAAAAATGTATTTGTTATTGTGTTTTGAAGGTGACATATGGCATTGCTCGGGGCTTACTCCTAGCTTCTACTCCGAATTCATGCCCTTCCACACCTCACATCATGCAAAGACGCTCAGATACAATAAGATGGCAAGGTAAGAGGGTGGGAGGGTGGGACAGTTCCTCCCAAACCATGCCGAAGGCATCCAGGCATCATTCCTGCAACATTCAACTAGGCCAGACAATTCAATGCATGTTCTGATCGGGTCCAGTAGTGCTTGAGGACCACCAGGGTCACACCCAACAGTGCTGGCATTGGGGTAGTTCAGGGATTCAATGTTGGGGCTTCCTGCATGCAAGATCTACAGTCCAGACCTTTGACTATCGCCCAGGTTGGGCGATAGTCAAAGAAACCTTTGATCCTGACCAAGTCCCCTTGAAGGAACAACGCTGGAAATGACCTCTATGAATGACTGGTGTTCAGGGGAAAGATCAGGCTAAAAATCTGTATGTAGTGGCTGTGTGGGAGCAGATGAGATTATGCAGGGAGACAGTAGGATGGAATAGGAAGGGAAATCTCAGTGGACGCACCAGCACCCAGGCACAAGGCACTTAGAGGGGGCGGAAAGCAAATCAAAGCCCAGCCGTAAACCAGGGCATGGAATCCTGAAAGAGAGAGGGGACAGCCAAGAATTCCTGGTTTCATGGGGAGGACCGGGAAGAGGTGGCCAGTCTTGGGAGGCTCCCACCGAGCTTGTCTTCAGAAGCGACGGCGGGTGACTGGGCGTGCAGGCGGCCCTGGGCGGTCGGCACGTGAAGACAGTGGACATCACCCACTTTTTCAAGAACTGTGGCGTGAAGGCCAGGGAGGCAAGCCAGCAAGATGGCAGCTAGCAAGGAGGCAGAAGAAACTCACTCACCCCGGGAGCCCAGCGGGAGGACAGCTCGAGCGATAAAGGCGGAAACGGACGCCAGCATCGCATCGCTACCCCCACCCCCACCCGACGTCCCCGCCGAGCACTAGAAAGGCGCTGGTTTTCATGGCCTTTGTCATGGAGGAAGCGGGCCTGAGGTTTACGCGGTTAAAATGCAACCCGGGGGTGGCCGTGCACCCACGCCCAGACCCTTGGACCCACCGCCCGCAGCTCGGTGCCTGGCGGCTCCGCGTGCCCGGCCCCATCTCCCAGATCCGGATCAAAATCCACTGCAACTCGCGGGAAGACCCCTGGCTCCTTCTGATAGACGCCAGGCAAGGCTTGCTCAAACAGCGAGCCACGGAGGTCAGGGCTCGGGCCGGCCTGCCCTCCCTGCACGCTGAGGAGCGTTCGCTTTGGGGGCGCCCGCGCGGGGACCCCAAGAAAGCGCGTCCTCTGTCTCCGCGGCGGGGGCGGGAAACCCCGGCAGGACCCCACCGAACGTTCACGGAAACTAACAGATGCCTCTTTCCTGGAAATAAATTTAAAAAAAAAAAAATCCCCCGCGCAGCCCTCATCCTGTAGGTAAGAGACATACGGGTCGGCTCGAGGTCCCGGGAGAGCCGAGCCCAAAGCCATCCCTGGCCGCCAACCGCGCCCCCGACCCCCCACTGCCAAGGTCTCGCCGGGCACGGGTTCGAGCTCCCTCTCTGCCAGCCAACGAGATCCTTGGGGACTAATTCGACTCTTCGCAGGCAACGAGTGCTGCCAGCGAGTTCTGCATCTTGCACGCCTGGAACACGGCTCGGGTCACCGAGTCGCACGGGAACGACCTTTTCCTGCACATCGCCCAGCGCTTTGCAAGGTTTCTGGGCTCGGCGAGTCCCCGCAGGAGGCCGGGGCGCGAGGGCGGGACGGGGAGAGGCGCCTACCGTACCCGTTCGGCGCGCCGGGTCATGCTGCGACCGGAGGGACCCGCTGGGCCCCGCGCTGCCCACGCTGCCCACGCTGCCCGCGCTGCTGGCCCCGGCTGATGCCCCGGGTTGCTCTGCTTTGCACCGCGGCGCCGTTGACTCTGGCGATTTCTCCCGGGCCGATGTAGGCAGGGGGCCGCTGTCCCGGGGGACAATGATTCCACTGGAGCCTGGCCTTTGACAAGACTCACACATGACCTTTGACAAAGTGGCTTTGGGAAGGAAAAGTGGCCCGGACAGCGGAAGACGCGGCCGCCCGGGCGCGCGTTCACATCCCACCCCCGCAGCCCGGCCAAGTTAATTTTTGATCCCGTAGTCTTTCAAGGAGCGTCTCTGGGAGGTTCCAGGGCCTTTTTTCTCGTCCTTCCGTCTTTCCCCGTGTCCGCAAGAATTCTGCCGCACAAGTTTTCTGCTAGGTTGCCAAAGATGAGCACCCCCGCAAAATTGCCAGGCTAATATGCGGGAAGGAAGACACCAGGCGGGAAAGGCACTGCCATCCCATCCCATATGCCCAGTTTTTGTGAAAAACTTTACAGAGCTTTTCACTATTCATGGTGTTATTTTGGCCTCTTACACCATGCCTGAGAGCTCTCTCTAACACCGAGAGACACAGACATGCCAGAGAAACGGGGTCTTTGTCCAGTCGCTGACCCCAGAAAGAGAAACCTGGAGCTGGAGCAATAGCACAGCAGGTAGGGCAGTTACCTTGCACGCGGTCGACCCGGGTTCGATTTCCAGCATCCCGTATGGTCCCCTGACCATCGCCAGGGGTAATTCCTGAGTCCAGAGCCAGGAGTTACCCCTGTGAATCGCCGGGTGTGACCTCTCCCCGCAAAAAGCAGAAAGAGAAACCTGAATCTGAGGAGCAGCCTTCTTCCAAACCAATCCAGGTCCCTGCAGGGTCTCCCTGGCGCTGACTTAATTATTCCCCCTTAAGGCCCTGGTGGAAACTGAATCTCTAGCCCTGGTCCCAATCAGCCATGCTTCCCACTCTTTTCCTTTTTGAATAATAGAAGTTGAGTGTTAGAAATTATTTTTCATGCACCTGTTGTCTTGGTTTGCATTAGCTGTCGCTCTCTGGAGTTTGTCAGCTACTTTTATTTCTTTGTGTTGAAGGGGTCTCTTGCTATCATTTGCTCCAGATTTCCTCTGGGAACCAGCCCTGAAGGCTCTGAGGGGTGGGAACAAGCCTGCTTCGGTCAGCTAGAGAAGTCCATCACTTGCTAAAAAGTCAGGGCCCTTTGCAGGATTCTTCCAAAGGGGACATATTCAACAGAAGAACCTGGGGTTATGGAATTAGGGAGAGAGCCCTGGACAGGCTCATCATCCTGGAAAGTGGGGTGATGAGAGCTTTTGAGGAAGGGCTGCAGGTTGTTATCCAGATGACTGGCACGTTGGAAGCTCCCCTTGTTTCTCCAACTTAGAGAAGGGGGGCGAAGGGGGCAGTAATCACTCTCAAGTGAACCCACCGGGAAAAGGAGGATAGCGCTGACCCCAAGGACACCCTGTACAAATAAGTGTCCTTTGTGAACTGGAAACAGGAATAGGGAGTGTGGGAGGGGCGGCCCCAGAGGAGGGTGTGGATTTGGACTTTAACCCACCTGTGGGAGGGAGTTTGGACTTCATCCTGCAGGGTGAGATGGGCTAGTGTAACTGGCCTTTGGTTACCAGCCCACAAGTTGGGATGCAGGAGTCCACAACAAGGAAAAAAGTCAACATCAACTGCACTTGGTGGTTATGTACACTTGCTTCATCCGACAGAAACAGTTCCCAGGTCCAAAAGGAAGAGCAATGTACTGAAGCTTTGTTTTTTTCTGGGGATTGTAGTACAAGCTATGAAGAAAAATAAAAGTTGTGTTGGTCAAATTCTTTTGTGTATCTTCTGACATTCTGTACTCCTCAACAAAAGTGGTTGCTGTTGGGGGGGGGGTATTTTTTGTGAGGCTGGTGGGTGAAGGGCAATTAAATAATAAATTGATTTAAAATAATACTATTTCATTAAAATGATTAAAAATTAGCTGTGCTCAAGTCTTATTCTTGGTTCTGTGCTCAGGGATCACTCCTTGCAGGGTTCAGGGGACCATATATAGTATCAAGGACTGAACACAGGTTGGCTGGATGAAAAGCGAATTCCTTACCTGCTGTGCTATTTCTCTGGCTATCATAATACTCTGATGCTCTTTACTGTTTCACCTAGCAGGAGCAAGAAGCACCTTCTCTTTCCTCCAGTGAGTCCCACCATACTCCTGGCTTTGGACTCACTGGGGCTTGTCCTTTGTTCCTTCCCCTTGTGATCTTTAAGTTCTCAATCGTGAATATCAGTTTACATCTTTCTTGTCCTCTGCCATGTTTATCTGCAAAATTTCACCCAAGATATGATTATCTGTGATAGGTCCGTGACCTCAGCTGACACAGACAGAGACAGAGCAAATAAAGTGAAGGAAATAGGAGAAATTTACGAGGACGCGCTCCCAGGTGGATTCTACGAACCTCAGGTGAGGCTGGAGTAGAGCCGTGTCCTGGGAGACACTCAAGGGGTTTTTGAGTTTTCTTGGTCGGAAAAAGGGAACCAAGACTAGTGGAACCGGTATGCTGGGACTGGCTCCCGTTATCTGTAGGGTGGTGAGGAAGCATGGAATGCAGCCTGGTGGCTTCCTGTCACCAGGTGGGCCATAAGTCCTGTCTTCCTCCCTGGGGACAGGGTAATCTCTGATTCCTGAAATGTTGCTTTCTCATCAACCAGTCGCCATTTGTCCTGGTCACCATTTTGTTTGAGCCAACCTCACAGTCTGCTGGCATCTCACTCACTAGGCCTTGCCACCTCCATGGGGTCTGCAGCCTTGCCTGGGAATTCAGCACCACTGAATTCCCTACAATGCCCCAGCCAATCCATGAATAGGTTACAGGGAGTAACTCTCTCTACCTCTGCAGATCCCAGTATGCACTCCCACTGACTTTCCTTCTCTCAGCTATCTCCTCTTATCCAACAGAACATTGTAGTTCTGGAGATGAACATGGTCTCGTGCTGGAAACCTTATCTACATCTCAATTCTTTCCCTTGAACATCAAAGGTGCCCTTCCTGCTGATGGGTGATACACGTAATTCCTCTCTTCCTGTTTCCTCTAGAATAGTCATTCATCAACCAACTCCCTTCTTTCCCTTTCTTCTCTATTTTATGAGTTCATTTATCAGCTTTTAAAACAACTACAAGAGTGAATAAAGCAAAATTTCCCAACACATTAAAGATTCTCAATAAAAAAAAACCTACCCTTTAAATTTATTATTATTTCGCTCTTAGGCGTCACACCCAGCAGTGCTTATGGCTTACTCCTGGCTCAGTGCTCAGGGATCACTCCAGACAGGGCTTGATGAACATAAGGGGTGCCAGGGATTGAACCTGGGTCAACCTCATTCCAGGCAAGTGACCTGCCTGCTCTACTACCTCTCCAGCCCAGCCCTTATTCTTGCATTTAAGCTTTAATTATTTTGTGTTAAAGAGAATAATTAGACGACTATCTCACCAGCCACCTGACTTCTACTGGTCTGTTATGGTCTTTCCTACACATGTGGCAATCTTCTGTTTAGAGGCAGCTCACTCAGCCATCTTTCAGACTTCCTCACCTCTGGGACCCCATGAGAAGCTGTATCTGCAAAAAGTGACTACACAGAGGTCTGTTGTCCTTTCTGTCGGGGTTGGGGATGGGGCGGGGTGGTGGTGGTGGGGAGGGCACTCCCAGCAGTGGTGAGGGGATCATGCAGTGCAAGAGATCTAGCCAGAGGTTTCTGCTAGATTTTTGTTTCTCATACAGAACATGAGCTCCAGCACTCTTGAGTTTCTCTCCAGCCAATGCGCTGTGTGTCAGCTGAAAGCAAGTAAGTAAAACACAAAGGTCTTTCCCATTCATCCCTGTGTCCTCCGGGTAGCTAATCTTGGACTTCAGATGCAAAGCTCCATCTAAAAGATTATAGATAACTATGGAGGGCTAGTGTGGCATGGATAGTTCACTCTGAAACGAGGGACAAGGGAATGAGGCTGAATCTTATCAAATGTCCCAGGGCTGGAGTAGGAAAAATACTGGGGTAAATATTCAACCCTTTTGATGGGAGCGATAGCACAGTGGTAGGGCGTTTGCCTTGCGCGCAGCCAGCCCAGCCAAGCTGGGTTCAATTCCTCCGCCCCTCTTGGAGAGCCCAGAAAGCTACTGAGAGTATCTCACCCACACAGCAAAGCCTGGCAAGCTACCAGTGACATATTCAGTATGCCAAACACAGTAACAACAAGTCTCAAAATGAAGACTTACTGGGCCCGCTCGAGCAAATCATGAACAACAGGAGGACAGTGTTTGTTGCTTTTACTTTAATTATTCTTTCTCCCTATCTCCTTGCTCTTACCTGTTGCTGCTGATGTTGGGATGACAGGGGGTCATGCCCGTGCCTGGCTATGTTGCTCCTGCATTCAGTTGTGGTGGTCACCAGAAGTAACATGTCAAGTTACGGTGCTTGCACACTGGATCTCAGTGGTCACTGAAGTTTGCTGTGCTGTTTGCATGTGTCCTTGCCTGGATCATACTCTTCAGTTGAGTTATTCAAATTGTGGCTGTGGTGCTTGCTGCTGAACTTATACATGTGCTTGTCAGGGGTCAAACCTTCTGGCCGTGACACTCACATACTTTTGCAGTTGTAGTGCTTGCCAGGAACACAACTCTTTGTGGTGCTTACACATACCTACCTGTGGTGTGACTCAAACCTGTGTGTGATGCTGGAGATTGCAGACAAACGGAGCTAATGTAGCCAGGCTTCTAGAAATTTGTTCAGCACCTGTGGGACACTGAGAACTTGAATTAGTGACCATTCTCTTGCAAAAGGGACACTCCAAGCCACTACACTATTGCTCCAGACCTCTATCTTGTTTCAATTGTGTGACTTTTTTTTTAAGCAGTGAAATTACAGTTTTTATTTTGGAGGTTTTGAAGGGAAGGAGGGAGAGAAAGTGAGAGAGAGTAGAGAGTAACCTACTCAAAAGGGAGTCTGGGCTTCTCCAAGGGTGAAGAGAGCCCCTACACACATCCCAGCATTAGACATGAAAACATTAACGTACACTTCTCAAGAGGGGAGATGCGGGTGACACATGTGCTCAG